GAAGGGCTCTCAGAATGTGTTAGCAGATTTTCTCAGCCGTCAAGTGGTGTGCCAGGAAGAATGGGCTCTTGCCAAAGAGCTTTTCTCTTAACTCACAGATATATGGGGCCAGCCAGAGATAGACCTGTTTGCCTCTCAAGCGAACGCAAAGCTTCCAAGATTTTTTTTCCATGAATCCAGGAGATGCAGCAGTAGCCACAGGTGCTCTGGCAAATCCTTGGCCCTACAATCTAGCTTATGCTTTTCCCCCCTTCAAATTGGTTCCAGCGGTGTTACGAAAATTTCAGCTGGAGAAGTTGGATTTCATTCTGATAGTTCCACATTGGCCGAAACGGCTGGTCTGTCCTCCTGAAATCCTTGGCAATTTTTCCTCCAGTAGTGCTCCCAAAAAGGGAGGATCTCTTATCCCAGGGGCCTGTTTGGTGTCCAGACTTGAACATGCTAAACCTCTCAGCGTGGTACCTGAGGAGCAGTTATTAAAGCAGGAAGGTTTTTTGGATAAGGTAGTGCAAACGTTGGTCAACTATAGAAAGCTGGTTACTAGAGTTAGCTATTTTAAGATCTGGAAAAAGTTAAATTCTTGGATGATGGAGAAGGAATATTCTGAAGCTTCCATTTAAACAATCTTAGATTTTTTTTCAGGAGGGTGTAGACAAGGGCCTATCCCTCAGCACTTTAAAAGTGCAGGCAGCTGCCTTGGGAACATTTCTAAAGTTTCCCTCCTGGGAGATCCTACAGTTTCCCACTTCCTTAAGTCTGTGGCTAGAATGAGACCCGTACCATCGAAATCTTGCCATTCTTGAGCCCTCTCAGTCTTACAGGTTTTGATGTTTAGTCCATTTTTTAGCCTTTGAGGGAGTCTTTCGTTAAGCGTGTTACGTGGATAACAGTATTTTTAGTGGCTATCACTACGGCTCGTAGAATTAGTGAGCTGCAAGCTCTATCAATCAAGAGAGCCATTCTTGGCGGTTTTTGATGCCAGGATCATTCTTAAAACAGACCCTGGTTTTTTGCTGAAAGTAGCCATGGCTTTTCATAGGTCACAGGACATTGTACTTTTTGTGCCTCAGCCTCAAATGAGAAAGAAAAGAATTTCAGTCTGCTGGACGTAAGGAGATGTCTCTTACATTACTTGGAAGTATTCAAACAATTCAGAGTGTCTGATGCTCTTTGTCCCCTTTTCTGGCAAACATTGAGGGTTTCAGGCTTCTAAGCCAGCTATTGCTAGATCGATCAAGCAAGCCATTTCTTGTTTCTACCACACTAAAGGGCTGTCAGTGCCTTTCATTAATGCATATTCTACTAGGGCCTTATCTATGTCCCCGGATCAGATATGTAAGGCTACTACCTGGTCGAGCTTCTGGATATTTATCAGGCACTACCATGTGGCTCTCTTGAACAGTCAAGAGCAAGCATTTGGACGTAAAGCCCTCCAGCCAGTGGTCCCACCCTAGGCTGGTAAGTTGGTGCTTATCGTCTCGTGGGCTGTCCTGGAAGAAGACAACTTTGGAAAACTGGAGTTAAACTTATTGGTAACTCTATTTCCAGGAGTCTTCCAGGACAGCCGGAATCCCAGCCTGATGCATTATGTTATGCTGTTTGTGTTATGTTTTTCAGGTCTGTCCTTCGGTACTTTTGGTTTACTGAGGCTTGGGTCTGGAGGACCGCTTTTTTATTCTCTGTGGGGTAACGTGTTTCCTGTCCCGTGGGAGAAGCTCTATGTCTCATGGGCTGTCCTGGAAGACTCTTGGAAATAGTTACCGGTGAGTCTTACTCCAGTTTTCCAATGGTATCAAAAGAACTTGTCAGAAGTGACTAATGCTTAAAGCAGAGGAACGAGGTAGCAAACAGATGTGACAGTTATTGTTCTGGATTGAGACAAGTACACACTATGGAAGGATATGCTTTGTTCATATTTCATGTCTGAGGTTTACAACCACTTGACAGCTGGGCTGAATGATGGCTACAGAGTGGTCGCCTAGTTCTGGGAGGGCGTCATATGATGTCCTGCAGAACCGCACCTCCCGTGTGCCCCCTGGGACGCGCACCCCTCTGTGAGCCCTCAGCCCCAACAGTGTCCATCAGTGCTGCCAGTCAGTGTCCCATCTGTTCTGTCACAGTCCATCAATGCAGCTAATCAGTGCACATCAGTGAAGGAGAACATTTACCTGTTTGCAAAATTTTTTAGAAGCTAAGAAAAAAAAATATTTTTTTTTAGAAATGTGGTCTTTTTTTTGTTTAGCAAAAAATTAAAAACACAGTTGTCGTTAAAGCTCTATATGTCTTAAAAAAAGATAAAAATTTAATGTGTACAGTGTTGCATGAAGGCGCAATAGTCATTCAAAGTGCGACAACACTGAAAGCTGAAAATTGGCCTAGCAGGAAGGGGATGAATGTGCCCGGTAGGCAAGTGGTTAAAGTGAAACTAAAACATCCTCTTCTTTTCAGCCAAAATGCTGCCATCGTAGCCTCTGTTTGATCTACAGCTACCATTGTGCTGTACATATGATCAGTTATGCCTCCAGCCATTTGATGGTTTGGTTGACAGCACAAGCAAATGTGACTGTTTTTTAAAACCATTAAATCAATGGGTTTAGTTTCGCTTTAATTGAAAAAGCTGAAGTTAGATGCTGATTGGCTACCATGCACAGCTGCACCAGATTCTGAGTGCACCAGTTTTAGTGACTCTCCCCCATAGTGTCCAGACTTGACGTCCCTTGTTTTAGGTGCACATTGTTCATGTCAAGGGCCATCTCACACCTGAATTACGCAATTTCATCCCATTCAAATGAATACAGAAACCGCACAGGAGTGCAGTCAGCGTTCCTGTGCTATTCCTGTGTGACTGTGTTCATTTGAATGGGCTGAAATTGCATCAGATCACAGAAAAAGTAGTGCATGCATTACTTTTCAAAAATACACTGCACCATATCTTATGGTACTGTGGTACCATGCAATCTGGTGCAGAACAATGCACTGCGTTCACGCTCTGCATTTGGCGTGTCGTTAAGAATATATTGCCCCCCCCACCAGCTTATCGTTGTCATACTGTGTGCTTGGGTAAAATGAAGAGGAAGGTTAGTAGCCCTGATAACCCTCCTGATGGCTAGAGTACAGCCCACACTTAGCTCTGCTCCCATTTGTGACTGATAGTACAGTGCTGTCCACATCCCCTAACTGGAGGAATGAGGTGGTCCTAAAAAGTGGTCTCTGACTAGGATGCCCTTCAGGATCCCTCCTCCGCAACTGTAAGACCTAACAAGGGCACAAAAGAGGATTTCTATGGTACAGTGTGAAAGTGAATATATAGAGGTACAGTTGTGGCCAAAATTATTCAACCCCCACTGAAATTGAGTGTTTTGGCCAGTTTGACATTGCTTTTGATCATTCAGTCATCTTGCTTACATTTACATTAAAGAGGCACTTGTAGGTCAGACAAATATAACATAACAGTTATAATGAAATAACCACAAATGTCTTTTCTGTGCTCACAGCATTATCAGTTTTATTCAACCCCCAAGTGACATTCAATCTTAGTACTTAGTACAGCATCCTTTTACAGTTATAACAGCTTTTAAACGTGAAGCATAGCTTGACACAAGTGTCTTGCAGCGATCTACGGGTATCTTCGCCCATTCTTCATGGGCAAAGGCCTCCAGTTCAGTCACATTCTTAGGCTTGCGCACTGCAACTGCTTTCTTTAAGTCCCACCAGAGGTTCTCAATCGGATTTAAGTCTGGTGACTGCGATGGCCACTCCAAAATGTTCCAGCCTTTCCTCTGCAACCATGCTCTAGTGGACTTGGAGGTATGCTTGGGATCATTGTCCTGTTGAAAGGTCCAACGTCTCCCAAGCCTCAGGTGTGTGACGGACTGCATCACGTTTCCATCCAATATCTCCTGGTACTGAAGAGAATTCATGGTACCTTGCACACGCTGAAGCTTCCCTGTACCTGCAGAAGCAAAACAGCCCCAAAGCATGATTGACCCTCCACCATGCTTCACAGTAGGCAAGGTGTTCTTTTCATCATAGGCCTTGTTCTTCCTCCTCCAAACATAGCGTTGATCCATGGGCCCAAACAGTTCTAATTTTGTTTCATCAGTCCACAGAACACTATCCCACAACTTTTGTGGTTTGTCCACATGGCTTTTGGCATACTGCAGTCGACTCTTCTTATTCTTTGGAGACAGCAAGGGGGTACGCCTGGGAGTTCTGGCACGGAGGCCTTCATTACGCAGTGTGCGTCTTATTGTCTGGGCTGAAACTTCTGTACCCACATCTGACAAATCTTTTCTCAGTTCCTCAGCAGTCACACGGGGACTTCTCTCCACTCTACGCTTCAGGTAGCGCACAGCAGTCGAAGTCAGCATCTTCTTTCTGCCACGACCAGGTAGCGTTTCAACAGTGCCCTTTGCCTTGAATTTGCGAATGATGCTTCCTAAGGTGTCTCTTGGTATGTTTAACATCTTTGCAATCTTCTTATAGCCATTGCCCTTCCTGTGAAGAGAAATCACCTCTTCTCTTGTCTTCCTGGACCATTCTCTTGCCTTCACCATGTTTGTAACCACACCAGTAAATGTCTAGAAGGAGCTGAGTATCACAGTCATTTTAAAGCTGCCTAATTGGTGCTTATTATGCTTGATTGCTGCTCGGTGACATCCACAGGTGTTTTCAATACCTGATGGAAAGCACCTGTATGAACCTCTGTTCTTCAGAGTGGTAGTCTTTAAGGGGTTGAATAATTGTGGCAATGAAGAAACCACATAAGAACCATTTACTACTGTATTACATAAACAATTGATGTCATTTTAGTTGCATTTGGGTAGTTACAACGTCCTTGTAGGATTTGATTCTGAATACAATTCCAAATGTACACTATAGTCCCTAAACCCCTTTACAGCATTGGGGGTTGAATAATTTTGGCCACAACTGTAGGTAGTGGGTTTTAGAGGAATTTTATTTGTGTATTTAAAATGCATTTACTATATTTATTTTTTTTCAGGAACAGCAACAGATTGTATTACTTAACAAATCATATTAACAGGTTTATATTTGCTGCCCTACATAAAGCAACCTCTAAAACCAGTTCATGGTCTGCTGCTATATGTTCATTCAATACATTCCAGAGAAGCACCTTATCCACCATGGCCCAGACTTCAGATGATTGTGAGGAAACTGGATTGTTCTCTCCTGATCCTAAAGTGCAGGGAATGACCACGCTTGACCACAGTGCCTTCAACAAAATCATACAAGTTCCTGTGATCAAAGTAAAGAAGGAAGTTATCCATATTGTCATGAAAAATCTTAAGCACAGGCTGATGAAGAGGCCCAATCTAAAAAGAGTCCTTGATGACCCCAATGATGAGGACCATAAAAAGATTGTCCTTGACCCATACATGGTCACATCGCAAGATGCATTTGATGAACGGGACCATCAGTTTTTCAGGAAGTTTCAGATTAACCCTCAGATTTTTCAGGCTGATCTTCAAGTGACTTACGACATTTTAAAGACTGACGAGATCCTGAAGGCAGTTTTACCCAAAGGTCAGGATGTCACAACTAGCTTCAGCCGTATAGGACACATTGCTCACATGAATCTCCGAGATCACCAACTTCCTTATAAGAACTTGATTGGTAAGTGTTGGCTCATGAGTGTTTTATAAAATTTGTGATGGGTGAAAACTAAGTCCTTATTTTGCAAAAAATAATGTTAATTTATAATGTTTTTTGCATATTAGCCTGCAAAGCATTGCAGCCACATTCACTGGATTGTGGGTTCAATGCTCTCAGCTGTATGTCTGTACTGAGGTACAGACTTTTCGTTACTGAGCTGGAGGAAATGTTAATGGATGAGTGTGGTGCTTACCACGTTTATGTTCCATTGAGAACTACAGGTCTGTCTGCTGTGATGTGGCTGTGTGGGAGGAGTTACACAGAGCTGTGCAGATTTCAAATCTGACAGTTGCTGTGGGGGAGAAGGAGGGGGTCCACTTGGAACTATGTTAGATGTTACGCCATTAAAGTGATTGTAAAGGTTGGGGTTTTTTTTTTTTTTTTTTTTTTTTTTTTTTTTGTTTTTAAAATAACAAACATTTCATACTTACCTGCTCTGTGCAGTGGTTTTGCATAGAGCAGCCCTGATCATCCTCTTCTCGGGTCCCTCGCTGGCTCTCCTGGCCACTCCTTCCTGCAAAGTGCCCCCACAGCAAGCAGCTTGCTATGGAGTTCCAGAGCCATTGCTCTGTGTGACCATTCATACACAGCCACAACTTGGCCCCGCTCTCTCCTCATTGGCTCACTGGCTGTGATTGACCGTAGTGGGGGCCAATGGCTTCTGCAGCTGTCTCAGCTAATAAGGAGAGAGAGACCCCAGTGACATGAGGCTCGTGTGCAGATTGCTGGATCAATAGGGCGCTCAGGTAAGTATTTGGGGGGGGGGGAGGATCTGCTGCACACAGAGGGTTTTTTACCTTCATGCATAGCCTTCACAACCATTTTAATAGCTATTAAAGGGGACTTAAAGGGGTTCTGAGAGAAATACAAAGGTTGCCATTGATGAGCCCTCTTCAAGAGATACCAGTTGCCAGGCTGTCTCTGGCTTCAATATGTTTTGAGGCATTGATCCAAAACAAATATGTACAGGCAAGTCAGAGGGACTTTTTAAAGCTCATTGACTCAAAGTATTAAAACATTGAGTGACAGCCTAAATATTTTTTTTTAAAGTAAACCCATCTGTAGTTATAATTATAACCTAGCAACATAAATGAAATGCATGTAGCGTCACACAGATTCTTGAATTATCTGGGAACATAAAATCATCTGTGTACAGCTTAATCTTTGACAGTATAACAGATTTGAATATTGATTGTAATAAGTAGGTTTGGTAGTTTCTAACAGAGAGATAAAGTGTACTTCTAAGTGTTCTAAAGTGCTGGTCATCATGGTGATGCTCTGCTCCAATCATCAATGCCACCAACATTCATGTCTTTCAGTATTATTCAAAAAATTGGGTGAAACAATCAGTGTTGACTTTACCAGACATGTCACACTAACTGATTCTGTTGCTGGTGGTAAAACGCAAGAATGGCTACTCACCTCCTAAAGAGTTGCTCCCTCTCTGTCCAAAGCACTGATGATTTTTGCTTGCCAAGGAAAGAGCAGTGAAACTACACTGTAGGCGCATGTTAGTTCTCACTGCTATCTTAGCAATCCTATCACTTGCAAAAGGTTTGCTAGTGTGACGTGGGCCTCACAAAGATGACTAAATAATGAAGGAACAGGATGGAAATGTTCCAAACTGGCAGAGACTTGATTGTGGGCTGGGCCAAGGGGTAGGCAAAAGACTCAGTTGTCTCAGGTTCTTCACCAGGAGGGAGCACAAAAAGGCAGGACCTGCCACCTATCTTGCTGAATTAGTTCACGACAAATGAAGGGGGAACAATTTGTCCCTTTCACCTTGGTTGCTAAAGGACTTTATCCTAGCACTGCACTGATTACCATCTTCTCTGTCCGTAAAGAGTTCAAAATCCTGGCCACTATAAAGAATATTACTGTGCCCTGACCCTGGTAGTGGAGAGAAAGCAAATTACTTTCTGTAATAAGAACTGTTTTTTTTTGTTTTGTTTTAACAGGGCAAGTAATCCTGGATAAAAACCCCAGCATCACCTCTGTGGTTAATAAAATCAACATTATTGACTCAACATATAGAAACTTTCAGATGGAAGTGTTGGCTGGCGAGGAAAACATGATAACCAAGGTCTGTGCTTTTTATCTTTGATGCTAAAGTAGCTGTAAACCCAACCACTAAAACCTCATATATTCCTTAATATGTAGCACTACCCTGCAGGGGCCACTTGATAATGCTTGTCCCCAGTGGTTGCCCGGACCTTGCAAGCCTCCTGATACCTCTGACACTCTGGGTTCAGACATATTTCAACAGTATTGAATAATAATGCAAGAGACACCAATTATTTAGTAACACCACTATATTAGTCTGGTTCAAGAGAATAGGCCACAGGAATTATGGGTTCAGGATAAACAACCCTAGTTAATGCATAAAAATAGAACACTGGTAAAACAGGAATGATCAATTAGCGACGTCTAACAAATTACAGGCAGTCTTCGAGTTACAAATATTCAAGTTAGGAACGGAGAGAGAAACAGGAATTGAAAGGAAATCTACTCCTACTAAGGGAATTTCAGTCCTGTAAGAGTTGCCATGGGAAAAAGTGTCTCCACTGAAGGTTTATCTCCAATCCTTGTTTTTATGACAACCCAAAATTTTCAAAATCCAGTTGTCCTAGGGGCATAAAGTGAGGTGAAATCTTCTGAACAGGGGCACAGACAGCAAAACAAACATTACCAGGGTGTTAACCCTTCCCTTTGCTATCCAAAAAAAAAATATATATTTTATTGGCTGAAGTTACACTTAAAAAATGTACCTGTTCCAACTTGCATACAAATTCAACTTAAGAACAAACCTGCAGAACCTATCTTGTTCATAACCTGGGGACTGCCTGTATAGTCATGGATAGTAAGTTTCCACTATTAAACTGCAACACCAGCAGTAATAGGGTAAAAGGCTTGTTGACGTATCTCCCTCTAGGCCACTGGTGCCACAATGGTAGATGCATACATAATGTAAATGTGTACTCTGACATAAACAGAAATAGGTGTCCTAATTTGAATAACAATTGCCTTAGAAGAGAACAGGCCCATTTACCTAGAGATTGCAACTTGAGTCCTGTGATGATTAAAGTTCCCGATATGGTAGTGTCTGTTGTCTTCTGCTAGCAATGGTGGGGCTAATGAACAGTAGTGAATACTGGTAATAAAATTAAGTTAAGCAGATAAGCTGTGGTACTGCTCAAAGCAAAGATCTGATATTGAGATGTAAAGGTGTCAGCATGCGGTGTCTCTAGAGTGCCGACAAAAAGAGGTTGGACATCCACCCCCGCTCGCCAATCCTATGGACAGCACGGCCTCTGAAGAACAGAGTTCTTCCTCAGGCTCTTGGTTGTTTACAGGGATGTTCAGAGTTGCCACCTGATGGTCTGTAAGCACAGCAAGCAGAGATGTCTGTTTGAAGACCAGATAGTGACAGTCCAGGTGCAGGGAAGCTGATGCAATCGCAGTGTGGCGATCGGCGTCACCACTGTGCTGAACTGATGTGCAGAGTCCTACAATAGTAGCCAAAAATCTGTCTTGGGAGGAGAACGGCAGTCCCCCTGTGTTGAAAATGTTTTTAACCAAAATTAATTTAAAACTAAATACAGTAGCTTCAAATAAAACAATCCAACAGTGTAATGACTAAAAAGTTCCCACCACCAAATACTTCTTCCAAGAGTAGAAAAACCTTTGATCCAAGGTGACTACTACCACAAATACAGGAAAATGCACTTACTGGAAGTGCATGCCTATCTCACTACAGGATTAGGCAAACCGCTTGTATTAATTCCAAAGATCTTCCAAACAGGTGCAGTCCCTCCCCAGTCAGTGGTTAGATTTCAGATGTGTTGGCAAAAATATACAGAAAAGATGGCGGCGGCCAGCCACTCCAATTCTTCCCAGCTTGCAAAAATGACAGGACACTTGCTACTCACGCCCAGCATCAGGCACCCTAATGTTTTGCCTGTTCAAACTTCATCAAAAGGAGATCATCCTGTTTTTGTTTGCTTGTTTTAATTGGAGTGACTGGCAGCTTCTCTCTGTATATCTTTGCCAGCACATCTACAGTCATGGCCGAAATTGTTGGCACCCTTGATATTTTTCCTGAAAATCAAGTATTTCACACAAAAAAGGTATTGCATTAACACATGTTTTGCTATACACATGTTTATTCCCTTTGTATGTATTGGAACAAATATAAAACAGAGGCAGAAAAGCAAATATGACATAATGTCACACAAAAACCCAAAAATGGGCTGGACAAAAGTATTGGCACCCTTAACTTAATATTTGGTTGCACACCCTTTGGAAAACATAACTGAAATCAGTCGCTTCCTATAACCATCAATAAGCTTCTGACACCTCTCTCACCCGGAATTTTGGACCACTCTTCCTTTGCAAACAGCTCCAGGTCTCTCTTATTGGAAGGACAAAACCTTTTCCCAACAGCAATTTTAAGATCTCTCCACAGGTGTTCAATGGGATTTAGATCTGGGCTCATTGCTGGCCACTTCAGAACTCTCCAGCGCTTCTTTGCCATCCATTTCTGAGTGCTTTTTGACGTATGTTTGGGGTCATTGTCCTGCTGGAAGACCCAGGATCTTGGACGCAAACCCAGCTTTCTGACACTGGGCCCTACAGTGCGACCCAAAATCCTTTGGTAATCCTCAGATTTCATGATGCCTTGCACACAGTCAAGGCACCCAGTGCCAGAGGCAGCAAAACAACCCCAAAACATCATTGAACCTCCACCATATTTTACCGTAGGTACTGTGTTTTGTTCTTTGTAGGCCTCATTCCGTTTTCGGTAAACAGTAGAATGATGTGCTTTACCGAAAAGCTCTATCTTGGTCTCATCTGTCCACAAGACGTTTTCCCAGAAGGCTTTTGGCTTACTCAAGTACATTTTGGCAAACTGTAGTCTTGCTTTTTTATGTCTCTGTGTCAGCAGTGGGGTCCTCCTGGGTCTCCTGCCATAGCGTTTCATTTCATTTAAATGTCGACGGATAGTTCGCGCTGACACTGATGCTCCCTGAGCCTGCAGGACAGCTTGAATGTCTTTGGAACATGTTTGGGGCTGCTTATCCACCATCCGGACTATTCTGCGTTGCAATCTTTCATCAATTTTCCTCATCCGTCCACGACCAGGGAGATTAGCTACAGTGCCATGGGTTGCAAACTTCTTGATAATGTTGCGCACTGTGGACAAAGGCAAATCTAGTTCTCTGGAGATGGACTTGTAACCTTGAGATTGTTGATATTTTGCCACAAATTTGGTTCTCAGGTCCTCAGACAGTTCTCGTCTCCTCTTTCTGTTGTCCATGCTTAGTGTGGCACAGACAGACACACAATGCAAAGGTTAAGTGAACGTCTCTCCTTTTTATCTGCTTTCAGGTGTGATTTCTATATTGCCCACACCTGTTACTTGCCCCAGGTGAGTTTACAGGAGCATCACATGCTTGTAACATTCTTATTTATCCGCAGTTGTGAAAGGGTGCCAATACTTTTGTCCAGCCCATTTTTGGAGGTTTGTGTGACATTATGTCGAATTTGCTTTCTTTCCTCCCTTTTTTTGTTTTGTCCCAATACACACAAAGGGAATAAACATGTGTATAGCAAAACATGTGTTAATGCAATACGTTTCGTGAGAAATACATGATTTCCTGGAGAAATATCAAGGGTGCCAACAATTTCGGCCATGACTGTATATGCTTGATTTTAAGCTTTTGTGAGTACCTTGATTACTTGTAGCAAATAAATTTGGATGCCTAAGATCTTACACTATTAGATCCTATTTTTTGTTACTTTATGCTGGGTATGAAATCTAACCACTGAATGGAAAGAGGACAGCAGTGGAGGTGAAGCTTTAAAGTGGACTGAAACTGCACCTGTTTGGAAGATCTTTGAAATTAATGCAAGCTGTGTTTGCCTAATCTTGTAGTGAGATAGGCATTCTTCCATTAAGTGCATTTTCCCATATTACTGGTGGTGGTCATCTTGGATCAAAGATTATTCTACAATTGGAAGATTACTATTGGTGATAAAAACATTTTAGTCATTGCCTCTGTTGTCACCATTAGGAAGCCTGTGCTGCGCAATGTCATGCAGCTATCACTGGAGTTTAGAGATGCAACAAGGATGAAAAAAGGGTGAAAACAGCATCTTCTGGAAGAAAAACATGACAAATGTTTTTGTCACAGCACTTTAACAAACTGAATATCATTCCATTAGGACCTATCTTATTTTTGTCTCTGTGAGCCCCTGGCGCCAGATTTTTAACACAACACAAATGGCGTACTTCAGGAATGTTATTGTGATCCTACACCACTGATCTGGAACAGGTATGTGCATGTCAGGTGTCCTGACACTTCAGTGTCTTGTTCCAGGTCAGTGACTCAGGATGACATCCTTGGGCCTTGCATTTTCAAATACAAGTCAGCATTGTTCTCTTTAAACTGTAGCGCTAGATCCACTAGATTTTCGGTAGGTAGGCTAGAAGAGTAGTAAAGTATCAAATACATAGCACCTAACTATCATAAGCCGGTTACCCAGCACTCCAGAGATTTGGGTCATTTGATCTGAATTGGATATGATAGGGCAAGAGACCTGCAGCAGCTCTGCACTGTGGGTACTAATATCTGCAGAAATGTTATTTGGGTTTATAGATGTTTCTGCTTGCGTCTGTATCCCACAGCTCATGACCTGAAAGGAGGACACTTTCTCATGGAGTATACACTATATTGCCAAAAGTATTGGGATGCCTGCCTTTACACACACATGAACTTTAATGGCATCCCAGTCTTAGTCCGTACGGTTCAATATTTAATTGGCCCACCCTTTGCAGATATAACAGCTTCAACTCTTCTGGGAAGACTGTCCACAAGGTTTAGGAGTGTGTCTATGGGAATGCTTGACCATTCTTCCAGAAGCACATTTGTAAGATCAGGTACTGTTGTCAGATGATGAGGCCTGGCTCGCAGTCTCCACACTAATTCACCCCAAAGGTGCAGGTCAGTCAAGATCCTCCACCCCAAACTCACTCATCCATGTCTTTATGGACCTTGCTTTGTGCACTGATGTGCAGTCATT